TAGTACGAAGGGAAATGAGAAAATATAATTCACGTGTATAAACTTGATCGTACAGGAGTTAAAATATTCCGAATATAATATTAAATGTGCGCTTTGGCTGATTATTTAAAAGAGCCGTAAAGCGTTTTTATAACGTAAAACAAGCACGAAGACATATGGAAACCAAATACTTCGTATTCGAATTATTATTGCAAAATATTTCTAGAATAGGTAATGAGCGACTAGTTTTTGTTTGTCTTTTTTGTTTTTTTTGTTTTTTTTTTGTTTTTTTTTGTTTTTGTTTTTTTGTTTTTGTTTTTTTTTGGCTTCGGGTTCAAAACTAACTGCGATTACTAAGCATTGAAAAAGTAATTTTCTTCCAAATAATAAAAATTTATTTTTTATAAAATTCGACCATTACAATTGGATTAATTAAGATATGTGTTTTTATGATTATTCATGATTCATGATTTGTCCAATGATGTTATTGCGATAGTAGAAAAAATAAAGAATATTTTTCAAAAAATTTAAATATAAACTATTTAAGTACAAACACGTATAATTTGCAAAAAATATAATTTATCTGTAAATTATAATATATTGTAATATATTGAAAATATAAAAATTTTATGACATGGCATAGTTGTTATTAATATTGGAGTATAATTTGAGTACTGAAAACGCCTTCCGCCGTATTTTTTCGGTTATTTGTATTTTATTCGATTTATTATGAAAACATGTTGTAAAAATTGCTTACGCTTTATTCGTTTTATAATTATTACTCATTGAGAAATTCTAAACTATATATGATTAATATAATTACTTTGACAACTTTTTTTTGTTGTAATTCTATTGTAGTATATAATTTATAGAATATTTGTGACTATTCAATTTTATTTCACAGATAGTGGCACTAACACAAAATATTCACAAATTTGTATTAAAATAAAAATTTTCTTAGCTTAATAATAAAATCCATCGATACACAATGAGTATCGAATATTCTTTTAATTAATAATAATTTAATTATTATTTAATGTAATTGTAACAAATATAAATCAATACATTTTCTAAATCTACAATGTTAATTAGTCCAAATACTAACATATCTCCTTACACCTACAATATTACTTTTGAAATAGAAAAAATGATAACGGATTTAGTAATGTAAAATAATGTCACTTAATTGCTTATAGCTTGAAACAGGAATTTTACACGTTCTCATGGTAATGTTTCATTAATCATAATTTCTTAGTTTTAAAGTGAAAATATCTTAATATATTTAATTTAATTTTTGATTTAATTTCAATTATAATATAATTGAATTAGTTAAAATAACATTATATTAATTTGAATACAAGCAATTGTAGTGAAATTGAAAAAAAAGTAGCTTTATTTTTACACATCATAAATAATTTTTGATATTAATATTTATAAAAATTAATATAAGTATTGGTAAAAGATTAACGTAATATATACGTATATATAATTAAAAAGTAGTGATTAAAATTTTACGTTATTATTTTATACATAAATTTTCCAACAAAAATATTTCATTTCGTATGAAATTATAGAATTTACAAAGATAATGAAAATTTGCCACATTAAGAATAAATACGCCAGGAAGGTAGTGTTGCATATAATAACAATGACAAAGAAATGTTATTGTTTTGTGGTAATAAAAAAAATTATGATCAAAGAAAAATGTAAAAAAGAAAAAAAAAAGGTATGCACAACGTTGCATTAATTAAATATTCTAGTCAATGAGGAAAGTGATGAGACAAAAATTCCGGAAATTCAGAAAATGCAAATAAATCTTACATTGAATCACTTGACATTAAACACTACAAAAATCATATAATGCAAATTCAATGGTTTTTCCGCCATGTAAATGATTATTTAGTTCTTGTCGTTATCTCTCGCCTTATACCAATTACGAAGGATTATGTATTGGATCATGATTATGAAATATAACATATTTTTTGGCTTTTAATATTTTATTTAAAAACAATTCGACCATATATTTATGCATTTCTTTATCTTTATAAAATTATTTCGAATTTTCTAAATAAATTATTGAATTAATTTTCTAAAATAAATCGAATTTTAACATAAGCATTATTAAAATTTTAATTTTAATATTATTCAGAGTTAAATTGAGAATATTAAAAATAAATTACTTTTTGAATGTTAAATTAATAACAATAGTGCTGTTAACATATTCAAAATTTTCATATTTAAGATATATAATGGATTTATTTCGAAAGAAATTAATTCATAATTCATTAAACATGATTAACATAAACGGATTCTGAGAATATTAAATAAAAAATACATTATGAAGATATTATACAATGGCTTTGAAAAATATTACAAGATCATTCATGTATGTCGCAATATTATCATTGCGAAAACTATTATATTTATTTAACTTTACAATTTCGATAATTATTTAAGCAAAAATTATATTTCATATTAACCTTTTTTTTTTTTTTATTTTCTGCCAAGTTTCTAATGTTATAATCCCAAGTATACTCTGAAGTGGAATACGTAATTAATAATAAGTTGATAAATTTTTGTAATTATTTATACATTTTAAAATAATATAATATTACGTGTTTAAATATTTTCTTTTCGTGTATTATTTTAAAGATACAATTTATTCGGTGCACGCAAAATCATATATCGGATAAACAAAATTTCTGGTCCCCCCCCCCCAAAATTGCTTATGTGTGTGCGAGAATGAGAATTAAGTTTTGTGTAAATTTGATAAATTAAAAAATTTAATATAATCTATACGTTTTACGCGCTCATTTTGTGCATAAAATAATAATAGTAAAAGTGAGAAAGCCTTTCAAAGTTTAATTATTTGTTTTAATCATAAGTCGATTATGATTATGATAACGACGTTTTAAAAGTTTAGTCCATGAGCGCTCGCAGTTTCCCATCCCCCTACACACAAATAACTGGTTAAAAAAAAAAAAAAAAAGGTTCTTCATTATAATTAATATAAAGTAAATTTTCATGAATAATTATATGTATGTGCCGTCGGTAAAATTTGAATTTACAGTATTAAATTATTCACATAAAATTTATCCAGCTTTTATTAAAATATTATTCAGGTTGAAAATTAATCATATATTATTCTGAAATTCATTGGGATTAAATAAATGTAATCGTTAGGATTGATAAACCATTGGCCAGGAAATTACATTACCTATAAAGTGCCATAAAGTGCCTTTTTTTTTTTCTAACCAAATGATAATAAAAATCAAGTTTTTCCTTTCTTTTACTAAAAATCATTATTATTTTTCAAAAATGATTGTACTTTATTTTAATTAGGCACAATGCATCATATACGAGAGGTTTCGTAAAATAAGGGATTAATATTAATGACATATTCGATGTTTAAGTACGTTACTTAGATACTCAGATTTTGTAAATCTCAAAATTTGTAAATACGAATGTATGTAAATATTACAATTGTCGTAATTATTATTATTATTATAAAATGTGCTCTTCATTTTTTGAACCACGTGAGTAAAATAATTAAAAATTGTATTATTATAAGTTATATTATTGTGATAAAAATTAAAGTATATTCATATTATTATATAAGTAGAGTATAAAGGGCGAATGAATTCTTTGTTTCTATTTATTATGATTGTAAAACGATATTGCAAACATATTATATGTTTGTATATAACAGTTGTCAAAACTATAATCTCCTTAACTTAGTAGCTGAAATTTAATTGAGCTACGATAGATTTTTAAATTATCTTCTTAATAAAATGTTAATAAAATGTGTTAAAGTAGTGCAACATCATGTTTGAGGAAACGCAATTCATTTCCAATTGAAATACATTATAGTTAGTCATATTTGATATTTCCTCTCATATTATTGATAAACACTCTTTGATTATAGTTTTGATGTGGTATTCGCTAATTCATTTGAATATATTGAATTAATAAGAAAATCGGTACTTTAAACTTTGTTAAAATTTCATTGGAAACCGTTTAACTTTATTGTACTATTTGTCGAGGCTTTGAGAATCACTCGAAATGGAAAAATGTCTACAAGTTTAATGTTTCTAAGCAACGATTGTTGTACATATTTGTAGTTCGTCATGTAGTTACATGTCTATACAAAGTTCGCGTATAGTTATACATAAACATCCATGTTCTTGAATAGTATCACGTTTGCTAAATCACACTTTTAATTATGATGTGCGTATGGGCGATTTAATATAATTAAAAAAAAAAAAATAATAAATAAATAAAAATATGTCTTCATAATGTAATAATATATGTAGTCCATCAATCCATGCTATCAATTAGATTCATTGTGTAAAATTGTATAGGATTAATTAATAGTCAGTCACACGAGATTGAAAACTTTCTATATTAAAAATGTGATGTTTATAATATAAATTGTAATAGTTTGTTCGACAGCTTATGTACACAAAATCTACGACTTTTAAATATTACGAGTATAGTAATGAATTACAGAATTGCCATTATTAGTCAGCGCCATTATTAGTGTAAAATGTCACATCGGGTCAACGATCACCGCACATCATCATAATACAAAGCTTTACAATTTTTGATTGTTGCAAGAAGCACAAAAGAAAATAAAACATGACAAATATAATATTGTAGTTTCGAATGTATAAAAAATGCACAAATCGAAATGCGAGCGAAAAGGAATGCTACGATTGGAAGGAAAAAACTAAATAAGTCAGAAATGTCCCGCATTGCATGTGTTCGCAAGTAAAGGTACAGCCATAGCTCGAACGCGAACGCAAGAGAAAAGGAAAGAAACAATTCAAAAAGAGGGAGAGCCCGCTAAGGAGATATATAAGACTGGTTTAAGTATAAGACGACTCCAGTTCTGAGACGCGTAACGGTGTGCGCGCGCTCAAAAGTTCAAAATCATCGCGAAATTTTATTTATTAACCATATCCTGCATTTATTTAATTCTCCTCTCTCTCTCTCTCTCTCTCTCTCTCTCTCTCCTCTTGACTCTGTGTTCTTCTCATAAATTCATTCCTCATACTATCATACCTATCATATTAAGTTGGACATTTTTGGAAGAGACGTTTGACGTACACAGTGGAAGCGGAAAGAAAGTGCCGTCACGGAGTCAATAATATTCATTTGTTATATATTTACATTTTTAAGAAGAAGTAGTTTACCTTTTATTTGATATACAAAAAAAAAAAAAAAAAAAGTAAGTATATTGTCGGTATAATAAGTAGTATAATAATGAATGAATGAATAATAAAAACAATAAATATAAGAATAAAAATAAAATAACTTTAAATATAAACTAATCGATAATATGATATGTGATATATTAATTTTTTAATTAATGAAGAATTAATTCAAATGAATTTAAAAAATATATATTTATAAATTGGACAGTTAACTTTTAGTTTCAATAATCATTAATGTGAAATTAGTTACTTGAATATTATTATAATTTCAAATTCAAATTTGTCTAAAGATTAAAAAGTTCACTTTACTTCAGAAACCTTATTTCTTGGCATATTAGCATATTAAAAGAAAAATAAGCTAATTTATTTTAAAAAATTAATGACAAACAATAAAGGGATAATGTTCTGATGAGTAATAAATAATGATATTAATTTTTCAAATATACATTAACGTAATAAAAAATTCATATCTGATTATTCTATCAATCAATTTCTATTCTTAACCAGTAATTAACACGAAGGAATATTTTATTTATGATTTACATTAATTTATACCCACTTTATAGTAAATTTTATGAGCTTGAAAATACTGTTCATATTGATCAATTAATAATATATTAATATCTTTTTCGAGAACGAAAAATGCTATTTAAGCGTAAGAATTCAACATAATAAATATGAAAAAATTCACTAAAACCTTGACATTGTTATGGTTAGATTGTTTACTTATATAAACTGGATACTTATTATTCATCTTAATTATAAATAAACACATAACGCGTTCAGAATTTTTAACAATAACCATAAATGGTATAAGTAAATTTTCATTTTAAATTAAAATGTTAGAAGGTATACTCTTTTACAGTTAATCTATTTTTGAATACATTAAATCGATAAAAATTTGCTCTAATAATTGGACTTTACAATTGCAGGATAATATACATTTATCGAACATAGTATTATTTTATATTTAAACAATATTCGATCTATATTATATCACAATTTTGTAACAGGTTGGAAATAAATGGTTTATTCGAGAAAAAAAAAATTATTAATTTTATAACAACTTATATATATATAAATTTTTTAAATTTTGAAATAAAATTTTATCATCTTTTATCATATTAAATGATCTTTATTTAACAACTTTTGTATAAATTCGATGCCATGTAATTTTTTATGTGATAATCTGTTATTGATTGTATGAAATATTTTAATATTTTATTTTAACATTTTACTGCCTTAAAGAATATATTCGCAAATCGATAATTTATGAAAATGTTCAATATAGATATAATAGAAAATCGGATTCAAAATAACCTAAAAGTTATAACCGAATACATTATCAGTACTTGTAATTATTTCAAAAACTTTTCTGTAATGAAAAAAAAAATCAGTGTAAATTAAAAAATATACATTTTGATTTTTATGTAATAATTAAAATATTTTATCAAACTAATAAATATAGAACAAATGACCGTTGAATTCTAAAATAAATTGTTTTTTTTTTTACTAATATTTAAATTTAATTATAATTAATTTTCAAATAATAAACACAAAGCAAAATATATTATTGCAAAGATCCAATGCTGAATATGAATTTTTATAATATCGGAAAAATAGTTAAATAATCAACTATTGAATATTTATATCAGCTTAAATTACGTAAAAAAATATATACTTTTTTTTTACAGAAAATATTTATTGTAATCGTAATTAAAATCGTTATTATTATTAATATTTATAAATTTAAACATTATATATAAGCTGATAGTTTGCTTAATAATTAATAAAGAAATTGTATTCTGATTATTTTTGAAATTACATTACACAAGAGTAATAATCTAAATAATTACTGGTTGGTAATTAATTTTTTAATTCCTTATTGGTTAATAATATATTTTTATAAAGATATTTCTTTATCATAAGTACGTTCATAATTAAATGTACCTTCTGCTACTTTTACGCGCTCATCAATAAATTAATAAAATCATATTATAATATTGCATTTACTGGATATTCGTTGGTATTATTTATATTGATAGTATTAAAATATATTTAAACTATGAAAAGTTGAAGCTAAGAAGTATTTTTGATATACAGTGTCTGCCGCTACTGAGACGCTTTACCTTCGCAATACATATAATCATTCTTGTGTCTGCATTTGTATTAATTGCAATCACGCTTACGGTAGAAAAGGAAGAAAAGATTACACGTTTCTTTGTGCACACGATTAGTATGAATTAAAGGATTTTCCAAATCTACGCGCCGACGAGTATTGCGGTCGTCAAGGTCACCATAGTCGCCTTTATGATAGTGAGAATTATTCGTATTTGTCGTACATTAAGCATTATCCTTTCGTAATTGTACGTATACTGGAACAAGTAAATAGATACGAAAATATTGTGCAAAAGTACTTAAAGACTCGTTTTATTTCATCAGGATTTGATATTTTCATCGCTAAATGATTACAGATTTTCCACGATTTCTTGTTTATTATCGTGTTAAAAATTTTGTTATTTATAACAATTTACAAATACGATGTACATTCGCCCTTTAAAATCCATTTATCCTAGAACGAGTTGAATTTTTCCATTTATTTACAAGAAAATCTTGAAAATGTTATGTCTTTTTTATCTGAGTTTTATATATGTAAAAATCATTGCCACAATAAAACGTCTTAATAATAATATGAGTATGTCCATTCTACAGATCTTATGAGCAGATTTATTTATTTATTTTTTAGATCTTATTAATGAAAGTTTTTCTACTTTAAAATGCACGTTTAACGGGCTATTGTAAAAAATATGCTAAACCTAGATTTGAATACGAGTGGTAGAATTATCATGAAATATAAAATTACTTCATTTTCGAAAAATGACAATTTGGTTTTACCCGGTCATTGTAATTCTCTTTCGCAGCAGTAAAAAATAAGAGTCTGGTAAATAGTTTAATTTTAGTTATAAATGTGCTTCTATTTATGCTATATCATTTTCTTCATACACAAGTAGTTTTCGAGTGCAACGGTTAGCAGTAGAAAGTAAAACATTTATAGTTTAGAAATGGAACACAATATTTTTATAATGCAATGCGCTAGCCTACTTAATCGATATTTCAAAATAACGAAAAAAAAAGAAAAAAAAAAAAAAAAGAATGAGTGAAATTATCGCTCGTACTCTCTTTCGATTTACAAAATTAAGTTGTAATTTTCCATCCTGCCAGCTAGAAAGGAAAGGAAAGGAAAGGAATTAACTTTAACTAAATATGCAACGTTAATTATATTTACAAATGAGAAGTCGATTACAATTTGTATTACGTATTGATACAAAGTTTGAAAAAATGTATACTTTTATGAAACGTATTCTAATTATTCTTTAGAATTTCATTTGTTACGAGAATTTTGAAATGTAGAGGAATTATTGACAAAGTGCTAATGAGTGACACAATATTGATTAATGTGGTAGCGTTAACGGGTCGCTGGCTTTTGTATTAATTTATTTGTTTGGATCAATGGGCACTCGCGGGCCAGATCTATGATATGTGTCTGCATCCATTTTTGTCGAAAACAAGTTCTGGAAATCACCGTTTGTCCATTTCTTATGAACTCTAACGAAACTGCTCTGTCCTTTTTGTTTCTGTAATAACTCGAAAATGACATCAGAGATCTGTTTAATGCAGCGGTGCGTTCCCCCACCTCCCACCCCACTCCCCTTAATCTCATCTCATCTCCTGAAATTTCTTATTTAATATGTAATTGTTTGTTCTTTCTTCATGACTTGACCTCGAAATTACAGTTAAGTTTCGAATGGTTGTTTCTATTGAAATTAGCGATATAAGTCTGTTCTATTGTTAAAATGTTTGGAATAGTAATTACAAATGTGTTGTGTATGTTGAAATTATATCTGCAAACAATAGATAAACAAAGATAATTTTTTATCTTACCACGTAAACTATCACGAGAAGAATATTGCAATAGATGGTTAAGTATGATTTATAAACATTTTTAATGACTAATTTATTTAATTTAATGACTTATTTGAAAATTCCACATAAACTTCATTTTAATCAATTTCGTTTCTCAACTTTATTGATAAATTTTTATCTTTAATCTTTCCGAGATAAAGCAGCTTTTTAAAAATCATTTCATTAGCTAATAGGATAGTGCATTGTCATTATTATTATTATTATTATTATTATTATTATTATTATTATTATTTAGAGAATAAATTAACGATATCCAAAAACACAAATAGCTCAAACTCTCGATTCCAATGTACTTCCTAAAAATTCATAAAATTCTTAAAAACTCATAAGTCTATTAATTGTATTTCGTAGCAAAATTTGCAATGTATGAAATATCTCGGAATTGATAAAATGTCTTTAAAAAATGAATAATCAAATAAGCGGGTCATCTTGTCTCAAAACAATTAAACGTAAATCTATGTAATATTATCGATCGGGCATTGCTATTCACGAACGCCAGTATTAAGGAGCGCTCTAGCTAAATTAAATTTATCATCCTTATAATTTCTCCTCGATCGTTTAAAAACTGGAATTTTAATGCGAATTATTTCGTATCGGGAGGTAAGAAACGAGGCGAATATCGAGGTAAAACAACTGGACTCAAGAGCAAACACGACACTGGAACAATCCAGTTCTGTCCCAATCAGACACGGGGGTTGCTGTGATCTTGAAGAGCATTCGTTAAGAAAAAAGTGCATCTCGATAATAAATAGGGAGATGATATACGTAGAGGTATATAACTTGTTACGAGTTACTTTCGGTGGGCGGGAAGAGTCACTGGGCCGCGAAACTCATACAAACAAAAATGCCACCGGATGGCCTTACCATAATACGTGCAAGCCGGTCCAGTTGAAGGTTCTCGATCGATGGCACTCTCTCTTTCTCTCATTCTCTAATGCGATCGGTTAATTTATTTCTCGAGAAGGCAATTACTGGTAAAGGAGGTGTATGTAATTACATGCGCAAGTGGTCATCTGCGCTTTCGTTTTATACCGATTTATAGCGAAAATTATCCGCTTCACGCTGGACTCGTAGATAAAAAGCTGTTTTTGACATACTATCGCGATAATATTCACGTGCTCTAATTCGATTAATGTGAATCTAATTATTATGAATAATCGAGGATAATATCAGGTTAAAGCATTATCGCAGCAAATCTTTCGCGATTGTTTTAGTCTTTTAAGATTTTTCCTCAACATGCAAAGGAGTCCAATTATTGATAAGATTCGTGCATTATAAAGATGCAAAAATATTTATAATTAATATATAAGTTTATTTGAATTTATAGCCACAGACATCTTTCAAATAAACAACGCGATCGTAAACACATATGAATGAATGATAAAGTTATTTAAATTGAATTTACCGACTTTTTTCTTTTTTAAACTTACTCAATTTTCAAATCTGCTGTGAATAATAAAGACAATGCGTTAGTATTAAAACGTCTTTTCGTCAAAAAGAACATATATATATATTATTAATATATTAATAATTTATATGTACGTTTCAGCCTCTCTCGGTGTGTTGGCCAATTTTGTCAAAATAATTTCGTAAATAATTTGAAAGCAATTCACTCAATATAATAAACTAAAAAAAAAAAAAAACTAATATTATTTCATAAATTACTTTAAGAAAACGCATAAAAATGAATATTTTGTTGAAAATTATGTAACGGTTTAATAAATAAAACACTATAACCCCGCACGCAGAGTAATTAAATACATAACCATAAGTGTATTTATTTTGTGTAGGATTATATCGCCTCAAGCTTGCATCGAACAATTGTAATTTTTTATTTCATTAGATGGCGCAATATGTACAAATAGTATACGACGGGTACTGGGACTTGATGGACAACAAGAGCGATCCCAGGGTCAAAGACTGGTTCTTAATGAGCAGTCCTTTCCCAACTCTGGCGATCTGTCTCTGCTATGCCTACTTTTCCAAAGTCCTTGGACCTAAAATAATGGAAAATAAAAAGCCGTTTGATCTGAAGAGAACAATGATATGGTACAATTTCGCTCAAGTCATAATTTCCACATGGCTTTTCTCCGAGGTATTATGTTAATTCAGCATTGTTTGACACCAAATATATAAATATATTTATCCACCTATTAATTAATTAATTTATTGTACTACGAATTTGTAACTTGTTTTGTGTTTGTTTGTTTGTTTTTTTTTTTTTTTAAATAATTAGAGGCTCACTGGCTCGATCGATGCTTATATACAGTTTAGTCGCTTAGTGAAAAGATAGCGTTTTTTTATCCGAGAGCTTTCAAGCTTTCTGCAAAAATTATAAAATTAATTTATAAATCCATGATTTTATAATTCTTTATTCGGTATTTGGTATTTATTCGATTAACGGGATACATTGAATTACAGTCTTTGGCATCCGGTTGGGCTGGCGACTATTCCTTTAGGTGTCAACCTGTCGATTACTCGGGCAACCCTCAAGCATTAAGAATGGCTCGAGGGTGTTGGTATTATTACATGTCCAAGTTTATTGAGTTCACCGACACGATCTTCTTCGTACTACGCAAAAAGAACGACCACATTTCCAAACTACACGTGATTCATCATGGAATCATGCCACTGTCAGTTTGGTTTGGAGTAAAATTTACGCCAGGTTGGTTGCGTTTTTTTTTCTCTAAACAAGCCGCTAATAAATACTCTTGCATCTCCTTAATTGCCAACGAATATTACGTTCATTATAATCTTTGTTTCGCCTACAATTACGATGATTAATTCATTTAATTAAATAATAAAATAAGTAAAGAAAAGAAAAAAAGAAAAAAAGGTGATCAATGCGATTGAAAGTGTCATTCTCTGACGTATTAAGGAACAATTTAATTGTAATATGAGCCGCGAAAAAGTACGTCTACAATTTTACAGCTTTTAATAATTAAAGAGGCTTGCGTTATCATAACTTCCCTATTCAATCAACTATTGTACATAACTATTGTTTAAATTTTCGATTAATTATAAGAAGAAAAAAAAAAACAAAAAAAAAACAAAAATAAATAAATAAAAAAAAAACATAATATTAAGTAAATGTATGCTATTTAATTGAATTGCGACGTTGATGAGTAACTCGCCTATTAGTTTTTAAATAAGACAAACAAACCACGTAAAACGACGTTGCTATTAATGACAAATTAATAGAGATTAAATATTTAAATATTTAAATAGCAGTTCAAGTACTAGCCATGATTATTTAATAATGGACATTTTTTATTTTCCAAGGTGGACACAGTACATTCTTTGGACTACTCAATACATTTGTACATATTGTGATGTATACGTACTATCTTCTCGCGGCCTTCGGTCCGCGCATTCAACCCTACCTTTGGTGGAAGAAGTACTTAACGTCTTTACAAATGGTTCAATTCGTGCTGGTAATGGTCCACGCTTTCCAGCTCCTCTTCGTCGACTGCAACTACCCCAAGGCTTTCGTATGGTGGATCGGCTTCCATGCCGTTCTCTTTTATTTCCTGTTCCGTCAGTTCTACAATGAGACTTATAATAAGAAAATACAAAAGAAGCTTGCCATTAGTGCCAAGGAGCGAAAGGAAAGGCAATTGCACGAGCTCAATAATAAGCATGAGAACCACCAGAAAAGTCGGAATGGCTCCGTTTATCCCAGTCAGTATAAAATGGCCACTGCCTACATTTCCGACAGTGGACTAAGGAATCGAGTTTTCATAGATAACCGAAGCAATTACGACGAATGATCTCGATAAATAGACACAACGATTAAACGTATTTAAATATTGGCAGAATAAATGCGACAGGAACTGAATAATTGTTTTACTTGTGTTCCTGGTGTTGGCACTTACTCTTACATAGCGGTCGCTGTTTTTATAAAAATTTCGGACTCCCGGACTGATTGTCATTACGGACAAGGATACGTTTTTTTTTTTTTTATTATTTTTCTTTTTTTTATTACTTACAATACGCAAACACAGCAATTAATTCATTAAAATAAACGTATATTACATCGCAATATTAGATAAATTGCATAAAAACTTCTATTACATTATTTTCTTTTTATTATGAATATTTTACATGATAAATAGGAGCGATGTAATGGAGAGAGTCGAGATTGTGTAAAGAGATGTTGATTAGTTGATCGAGCCGACTGAATCTAAGTGTGAAAGGCTGTATGATGTTTGGTAGCAATTTATACAAAGATTATCCGTACATTGAATGTTAATTGCGAATTATGGTTTTTGCCTATAGAAACAATCCAAATTTAACGATCTTTTAGAAAGCTTTTATCTGAAATAATTCGGTAGATCTAATTGCTTAATTAAAGATTAAATAATGTAATTTATATTAAATGGGAAATAGTATATAAATTATACTTTTTATTACGGCTATATTAATCTTTTCATGATATTATAGATTTTATACATTTTTTAAATACATGCCCGTATGGTTATTATACATTTAAAATTTTTTAACTTTTAATTCACTTTCTTTTTTTATACAAATACACATAATTGGATATAAAAGCATCGTTGGTTACGAACGACTATTTTCTGTTTATTATCATAAGTCTAATGAGCCTAGTAACGATAAAGATGCTTCTTTTGTATCTTTTAATCCATTTTTGTTAAAAAATAATTCTATATTAGAATTTCATATATATCATCATTATCACATATATCATCATATTCATAAGGGGAGAGAATACTTATACAGATGAATATAAACATACTTTTAATCTTATCGAATCTACTCGCTTATGAATTAGAGAAAAAAAAAATAAATATATATATATATATATATATATATATTCCAAATGTATTTTTGAAGAATTGAATGGAGTTTCGGCAATATAATTTGGCAATGAATGACTACCAAAAATTAATATTGTAAGAATATTATAAAAAATATTTAAGAATAAAAATTTATGTTAGAAGAATTTTATAAATAATACACAATATTATATAGATTTTACATTATATGTATATGTATATGTAAATTTTTTAAATTTAACATTTAAAATTTTTTTTATATTTAATTTTTATTTTTTAAATAAATTATAAAAATGTTATATTATTAATGATTTTTAAATAATAGGAATTTAGTTTTATAAATATCAGTGTGCAATCGTCGTTAAAAATTAAATAATGTATAAGTATTCGATGTAAATAATTTTTATTTTAAACTAATTATTCTTTATCATTATAAATAGATATGTTTGCCATTTTATTACTGAATTGCTTTTTATGTATTATACTTCCATGCCCGCTCGCCACTGCATCAAATTAAATAAAAATTTATTAATAATCATTGATTTTGCTTCAACAACATTATGTATATGTATTATAGAAAATGTAGAATTTTTTAATTAAATTATTTAATATTCGATATTTAAGAGCAAAAATTAGAAAATTAAAAAAATCATAATAATATTGTTCTATTTTTTTGTTACCTTAAATGTAAATTAAAAAGTATTTGTGTTACAAAATGATTAATTATATAAAGAAAAAAAATTAATTTGAAAAATGTTATTAGAGCTAATATTTATTGTCATCACGAATATTATTAGGCAAACGTATATTCACATAAATGTTATTTATAAATATAATTATCAATATAAATGTTAGTATTTAAAATTAATTAATTGAAAAAAAAAAAACAATAGTATTAATGAATCATTATATTAATTACTTATGAGAGCGCGTGATAAAGTCTTAATTTAATCATCTCTTTTGTCCTTTCATTGTTGTCTTTGGTATTTTATTTAATACATATAAAATAAATTCTATTTACCATTAATATTAAATAAATCATAATATATAAATTTAAATCATTATATAGTATGAGACGTAATTTAAATGACAATTTATTAATGATTTATAATTTATTATTTAAAATCATTAAATATACAATCATTCTCCTCAAATTTTTTAAATAACACTTACTTTATTAATAATACATCAATGTAATTTTAAAAATATAGTACTTATGATAACTCTACTACATTATTGTCCTTACATTATTTTAAAATAGCGGTGATGATGTTAGTGAAAATTAATATAATGTAATTAATTAATTAAAATTCAGAACAATTGTAATGTGATTTAACCAAAGCAATGTTTTAATATCTTAAATATTATGGACTTACAATTAAAGATTTTTAACAGTATAGATTCTATATAAATTAAAAAAAAATTTTCATTAATATGAAATATTCTGTATTTTTAAAATATATAGAATATATATAATAGATTTGTAGAAATATAAAGTATTTATAAAAAAAATTATTAAAAAAAATCTATTATAAGAACAAATTTTTGCATTCTTGTTTTGTTGTACTTTTAATTGTTAAATTTGAAGAGTTATATTATTCATTACGATATTTTTATATAATATCATTAGAAATAATTGTTTATGAATAGAAAAATTCAATTTATCAAAATTATTAATATTTCTAAAAGCTCACGGTTGAATTAATATATGTTTTGTATTTATATTAAGTTGATTGTATTTACGATAAGTTGATTAATAAATTTAACGTTTATTTTATGTTAAAATGTTTGGTTTGTGATAAAAATAATTAACACCTAAGGCAAAATTATCGCTAATACTTATTTTCAGTTGATAATTTCGAATTCACATGGTAAATCTTTATTGCTTTTAGAGAGTAGAGAATTTATAGATGGAGCCACTAATTCATTTGGTAAATGCTAAGAAGAGTCTGTAATTAATTAAAAATCTTTTGTAATATCCCTTTTATTTAACATTTCATTTACTTTTACATAAATTTTATCATATATTTTATAATTTTAGTATAGTCTATAGACAAATTGAATAATTTTTTGTTTAATTATTGTTGATCAAAATTTGAGTGGCATTTTTTTTTTCGTGAATTTGTTATAAAAAAAGTATTATAATCGAGAAAGCTTAATTTAACATTTATCATTGTAGTATAATTGTATATTATTAACCGAAAAATATAAAAATAATTTAATCAATTCCAAGTATATTTTGATACTTCAATTTATTCGCTTTTGCCTAATTATAATATGATTATATTAATTATATATTCTTATATGAGTAATTTAGTGTGAAATTAAGAATGATGTACGTATAATATTTTTTATATATCTTATCAAACTGTTTATTAATTTTTTTGTTAAGTTATTAAAATTAGAATATGTTTTTGTCAAAATACATGTAATATACATATACATGTATTATATGCGGGATAATATAATTTTTTCTGAATTTGTAACATTAAAATTTCTAATGTTAATCAATGTATAAGTGTATCCCAAGATTTTTATGAATTTGTCACATAAATGAAAGATTGTTATAAGTATGTCAGAATTATAACAAATAGTTAACATATCGTAAACAAGTATTAAAATGTATTCAAGGATAAATGTCAGTTTAGAATTTTGTCAATGGCAATATGTTAAACCTGTTTATGTTACTGACGATTATGTGAAAGCAGCAACGGAATTATTAAAAATTACTTGGGCAGACAGGTTTAAGTAAAATTCTATTATGAAATATAATAATTAAGCTAAAAAGAGTATATAATTAAAAGTTTATTAAATTTTCATATTAATTTTTTTAATCTATTTTCAATTTTAAAAATCTTAATAAATGTGTATTTAGTTATGCTATTGTCAGATTTCAATTAATTTCCATGTTAATATTGCGATTTATAATTTTTCTGCTATACCTTATTTTTCGCAATCTATAACATTTCTTACATAATATTTGTATTGCAATTTTATTTTAGAATAAAAATTTCATATTTCTATATCAATTTATCCTGATTTATCGAATGGGAATACAATTAATTATATAAAAAATTAATGTATAATATAAACAGATTTTACTACAAGAATTAAGAAAATTGCTTTTTAAATTATTCTAGAAATAAACGTTAAGTTCATGTTAAAACTAATTTAAATTGACTGAATCTCATATTTGTAAACTATGAGAGGAATTATTTTCTAAACTGATTATTAAATTATTCTGAAATATTAGATAAAAAAAGAAAGCTTTAAAGTTTCAACCTAGATTTTATATATATTGAATATCAAAATTAATTCGAATATTAAAATAGTTTAATTTTAAATTAAGGCTTTGTAATTATATATCTATATATATACATACTTGTTCATAAAAATAAATATAATTATCAGTAATAATTATCATAATTTATTTTGTAATAATATAATTTTTGTTAAATGATTGACAGTAATATCATATTGATAAAGTATTAATTTTGCAAAGTGTATATCATGTAAATTATAGAAAAAGCAGTTATATTAATAAATGAAAAAGATATTGCTAGATATTGCTTATTTATTTAAAAATATATAATGTATAATATATATAAAAGAATATAGAGGATAAAACAAAGTCAGAAATTTATATCTAATGTAGTTTATATAAATCTTTATTTAGAACAAGAATTTTATGATTTTTTATTTGTTATTAAAGTTGGCGTTAAATAAAAAGTTGAAATAATAAAAATTATATTATACATGTTTAACGACAATATAAATAATACGTTTCTTTAATGTATGTTTACCATATTATTGTTGAAAATATGGATTTTAATGCATAAGTTATATTATATCCAAATATGAATTTGCATTTATATTTTATATTTAGCGTATAGAACGACATGAAAGAAAATTTAAATAATAATAAAATAAATTCCCATTGTATAATGAATGCACAGACACTCACGCCCATATATATATATATATATATATAATTATTTATATGTCATAAAATATTGATATGTATAATGATGATATAAAAGGAGATATATAATATACGTTGGATATAATGGAATATTTTTAATACATTGATTTGTTGGAAATTTAGAATAAAATATTAAATTGAGAATGAAAATGGTTA